AGCCTGGAGAGACAGCCAGATGTCACTGGCAAAGGAGAAGCTGTGAGGATAGTGCATTTTTTTGTAAAATGAGATGTTCACAACATCTCCTTCCCTCTTTGACTGTGGTAGAGCATCATGGCTTCTGCTCAATTGCCATTTGTAAAACCGAGCCAGCCAGGTGAATGGAGTTGGGCAGTCTAGACTCCATCTTCCACAGCTGTCCCACTGCCACAGAGGGTGCTGAGTGCGGTGGTTTGGATGAGAGGGCTGTCACAACGAGCTGCTGCCATTCTTTGCTCTCAGGCTCGGATTGTGCTACAGAGTGCTGCCCGAGCTGATAATTCTCATAGCCTCATGGCACAGGCTGAAAGCGCATCATGCAGTCATCTTGCTGAAGCTAAGCAGGTCTGGCTGCAGTCAATGGCTGGATAGGAGGCTGCCTGGAAACCCTATGTACATATTCTAGGTGTTCCATAGGGAAAAAGCAGAATGCACAAGAAATGAATGAAATTAAGCCAGTCCTGAAGCAAGACACTCAGAGAAGAGTGTTGAGTTCTATCACGGGCATGTGTATATAGTGTAGCCTAGCAGAAACTATGTGGACAGTTGGCATGGAGCGTTACTATCTAATCCAAACTAGTGTCAGGAGAATGAGTGCAAGATTTGTAGGACGGATGGGAAATCTCATTCTGTGGCTGAGTGGTTTGAAAGAATAGTTCTTCAGTTACTTCCAGCATACATCGTCCAGAACATCTGGAGATTATCTGGTGGAGCACAGTTCTTTGTCCACTGTGTTACAGAGGCCTCAACTGCCACTTTCAGGTGGGTTTAAAAAAAACAACAAAACCAAGCACAAATATTATGAAATAAAATTTTGTAATGCGGAGCTGGGAGCGGAGAGAGTGTTTATTGGCTTGTGGGATTTTAAAAATATTTTTTATTGTGTATTTTGTGTTTTATATTGTATATTTTTGTTTTGAGCCACCCTGAGATCTACGAATGAGGGGTGGTATACCAATTAAACAAAGAAACAAGAAGTCAAGTTGCTGGTTGCATGCTGCAGGACACTCTTCCAGCAGATATCCTCACTATTGACCTATTCAGCTATTTAAATTGTTTCGATTAGCCAGCCATTTTAATGATTTTTTAAAAAGCTACCCCCCCCCCAGTGTTTCATGTTTTATCATATACTACTGTATTTTGTTGTTGTTTAGTCATGTCCGACTCTTCGTGACCCCATGGACCAGAGCACGCCAGGAACTCCTGTCTTCCACTGCCTCCCGCAGTTTGGTCAAACTCATGCTGGTAGCTTCGAGAACACTATCCAACCATCTCGTCCTCTGTCGTCCCCTACTCCTTGTGCCCTCCATCTTTCCCAACATCAGGGTCTTTTCCAGGGAGTCTTCTCTTCTTATGAGGTGGCCAAAATATTGGAGTCTCAGCAATATACTACTGTATATTGTATGGCAACTTGATATTTTTACATGGGCTAGTAGATATTAAAAGCATCTATAAATAAATAAATACATCAACTATATATACCTAATAGCCACCTGCAGAGGTTAGGTCAAGAACAGTTCAAGGAAGCATTTTAGTAGAATTGCCCACAAAGCTACTAAGTTGTTTAAAATTGTTTTTAATATTTCTGTTAATGCTGTAACCCACCCTGGGACCTTAGGGTGAAGGGTGGGTAATAAACAAATATTTATTATTTATAATAATAATAATAATAATCATCATCATCATCATCATCAGAGTGGTGCTTTGGCAATGCCTGCATGTGTGTTGGTGTGGTGCATTGGAGTGAGAGAAACCAATTTCAGATATAAGCATTCCAACTTAATGGACTACAAATGTTGGGTTTTACTTGAAAATTTTGGGCCTTGAATTTCATGTGGCATAAAGAGGGCCTTAAATTTTGAAATCTTGAGATGCGGATTTTATTTCTACTCCTCCGCAAGCCATCATGACTGGCCCCGGACACTACAGAATCTCACAATCTCCACTCTGAGAGTGGGAGGGAAAATAAAGGAGATGTTTACTCTTTGAAGTTAATGGAGTGACACAGTGTGTTAATGGGCTATTTACCAACACTGCCTCCTCTGTCTCTTGTTTTACAAGTGAAAATGCTTCATGGCTGTGCTTTGGCATTGGGTTGGCCCAAAAGGGGTGACTCTAGCTCTCCTCCACTCGCCATTCAAGCACAAGTAAACTGAAGGGGGAAGAGGAGTGATTTTTTTTTAAAGAAAGAATGAGTAAGGGAATGCAAGACCCCCACTTTTAAATTAGACTTTTTTTTTGTTTTCAAAACTTCCTAAAATGACCAACAAATTTAGTCACACTTTCTTAGAAGATTCAAAGTGCAAAGAGACGTGTGAGAATCAAGAAATACACACACATAAATATACTTTGAAAAGGAAATATTTTGTGGAGAAAGACAAATTGGATACCGTTATTCATTTCATGGGGACAGTTTCTGTTGCTGAGCATGCATGAACTTTGAATAACATCCAGAATGGATATTACATTGAGCATGAGATTTCTTTTTCTTTTTGCCTGCAGGGCTGGCTCAAGATATTGTGCTGACCAAGGAAAATCAGTAAATGGTTCTCCCTCCCTGCCCAGGTCAATGTGCTTAGAACTCAAGATCTCTGAGGCAAAATGTGCACTGCTATAGCTCAATGGTAGAGCCCATGCTTTGTATGTAGAAGGTCCCAGGTTCAATCTGGGTCATCCCCAGTGAACAAGATCAAGCAGCAGGTGATGGGAAAGATCTCTGGCTGGGACCACGTAGAACTATTGCCGGTCAAAGAAGACAATGCTGGATTTCATGGCCAAACAATCTGATCTAGGGCTCGCCCATACTCCCACTTTTCCAGAGCCTAGAAAGCATGGGGCCTAGTGGGTTTCTGCTCCTCCCATGCTTTCAAGGCATGGGCCCAAGTGGTTTTGCTTTCGCCCTACTGCTTTAGCACTAAATTGGAACAAACGGCAATCCACAGAAAATCCAATTGCTGTTTGTTTTGATTTAGCACTGAACCACGCATTTCCCCAGGGGAAAGCAGCGGGGCCAAGATGAGCCCCAAGTCTAAGGCAGCTTCCAAGGATGAATGTCCCTAAGCTGTCACAACAGGCAAGCAAACTCATCCCCTCCTACTTTCCCCCTTATCCTGCTCATGCTCCCCTTCTAATACAGAAAGTGAATATCTCCCAGCTGCTCCCAGGTGAACCGGCAGCTCTGAGGATTGATGGGCATGCTTTGGAAAGTGTATCCTTCCTTTCTTGAAGGCAGATGCTACAAGCAAAAATCCCATTGCAGCCTTTTGGATTATAGAGAAATGGATTGCTGTGAAAATCCATAGGGCTGCACAGCACGTTATCGCAAAGCTGTCCACCTGTGTCTTGCCACAGATGGGAGATTGTAAAACACCATGCGAGAGACTGAAGCATGTTCCCTGTTCGTGGTAATGCCACCTGCTATGGGAAACAAAGAACAGGGGAGTTTGGCGCTTGAGCTCACTAAGGGAATTTAACCTGTATTGTAAATTATCCCACTGAGGAGGAGAACTGAAAATGGGGAGGTGTCCCCCCTTTCACCCACTGAAGTGGGGGGGGGAGAGACAAGGGAGAGTATGGGGCAGAGTCAGGGTGTGTGTGCGTCTAAGTATGGAAAATGTTTATTTTTCCTCCCGTTGTTATTGGGCAGCATGAGCTGACCAGATAGGAGGAGGGATCAGTATACCACATTTTTCATGTATAAGATGGCCCCATGTATAAGACGACCCCAATTTTTTTTTAACCCAAAATTAAGAAATTAAGTAGTTTAGCTTTTTGGGGAGGGGGGTCATTTCCATCAATCGCTCACCTGCCTGCCCAACACTGCCGATCGCTTGCCACAGCCACTGCTGATCACACACCTCACTGCAGCCACCAATTGTCTGCCTGCTCGCTGCCACCAACAGCCCACTCGCCGCAGCTGCCAATCGCCTGCCCAATTGCCACAGCCACAGCCAATCGCCAGCAGGCCTTGCCACAGCCACCAATCACCCACCCAATCTCTGCTGCCAATCTTCTGCTTGCTGCTGTCGTTAATCACACGTCGCCGTCCCCCGCATTCACTATCCGTGTATAAGACGACATCCAATTTATGCCTAGTTTTTTTTAGCAAAAAGCATCATCATATACACAGGAAAATACGGTAACTAGAAGGAGTCTGAAGGTTGCAGTTCAACTGTCTTGAGAATCCAAAGATGCTTTACACACCATAAATTTAAAGCAAAAATCCCAGAAATAGTTGTTTGCCCTTCACAAAGCTTTAATTGCCAACACACTTAAAAACTCCAGTTCCCAGGATTCTTTGGGAAGGTGCTTTAAATGTGTGGTGTGTATTTAGCCCTAGACTGTAGGCCAGGGGAGAAAGGCCTTCAGGCACATAGAGCAGTGCTGTATTTGTAAATTGGGAGTAGGGTGGCCACTTATGCACAACCACCACCACCCCAAAGAAGACACAGATTTGGACATAAAACTTGAATATGCTAATTTATATGTATGGATAGAAGTTGGAACATTGTTACTACAATTTAAACAGAGATTATACAATGTGTCTCGCCATAGGTATATAAGGGGCAGGTATTTATTAAGGACTTAAACATCAGGCAATGGCAGGGACAGCATGCACATAAATTAAATCAGGAAAGAATGTGCTTGGTTACCATGCTTAAAGCAAACTGCCCAAAACATATTAAAGCCCCTTCATTTTGGCTGGAACCTCCTCTTCTTTACCTTCATTTTGGGCAAGTAAGGCTTCATTGCATCCTTGTAAATACTCTTCAAGCACTTCTAGTTTTGTGCCTGTAAGTTTCTTAACTAAGGCAGATTCATAAATGAATCATCTCTGTACAGCCGATAAGAACTACAGATTCCTATGCAGAAACCCCCACTGATAAGCAAGCAACATGGCACTTGCTTCATTCAGGGTTTTTTTTTGGGGGGGGGCTTCTTTAGAGTGGGATGCCCGAGAGGGAATGTGTACAGGTGAAAAGTCTGCTTGGAAAAACTCTGCTGCCACCCAGGTGATAGCTTTTGAAGAGCATCTTCCAGACCCTACTTCCTCTTTTTCAGATCTTTGAACCAGACATGGCAGTCCTTCAAGAAGTCTCTCAATTAGATGGCTGTCCTCTGCTAAGAGGAGAATAGGGCCACCGTAAGGGAGAGATGCTGGAATGAAATTGTCCTTTCTCCCTATAATGGTCATATCCCAGCTGCAGTGTTGGTTTTGTTTGCTCTCAGTAAAGGCTTTTCCTTCTGTCCTGCTTCCCATGGCTTCACAGTTGGTACTTATAGTGCCGAAAACACTCTGCTCGGCTAAGCAATGCTATTGAGGCCTTGGACTGAGTCCAAATCCCCACTGAGCCACAGAGCTCCCTGGGTGGTCCCGGACATGCCTGCCTCTCTTTCGTCAATCACCCGCTCACCCACTTCAACATTCGTGTGATTTGCTGCATCCTCCTGAAGATCAGAGCCCCATCAAACGCAACACAGTATTTGATTTGTTTTTCTCATGGCAAGTTTTCAATGCAGAAAGAAGAATAAGAAGAATAAAAAGACAACTATTTACATATCTGTAGGAATAACTGTCCTTTTGTATTTGCAGGTTGCGGAAAAAGATTTCTCCCCAAATTCAGCTGGACATTTGGGTAAGTATAGTTAAGATTGCGACCTGAAACTTTCAGATTGTGAGTCCAAGCTGGCTGCTGCTGAAAAGGACAGAGTTGTCAAATGCTAATTGTTTGGCTGAAAGCCAAATTATGTTTATCCTTTTTTAAAAAAGAAAGGAAGAAAAAGGTTTAAATATGCAACTGAATAAATACGGAAGAAGTCCCTGCTTCTGAAAAAAGAGCTCTTCTGTAAAGATCAGCTTTTCAAACTGGAATTGCAGAATCGAATTCGGCTTTCTTCCTGGACTTCTGGAAACTCCTTTCACGGCACTTCACAACACTCTAGCCTTCCAGATTGCTCTGTGGGAAGAAGCCTTCATTACAGATAAGCATTAACTAATTAGATTTGGAGTTGATAATGTAGGTGACCTTTTCAAATGGCTTGCGGTGGCCTTCCCATGCACAAAGCTCTCTCTTAATATTAGCTAGAGTTTATTTACCAATATGTGGAACGTGCCACTGCAATTAAAGTGTTCCACTTTTCATGTTCTGAGGGATGGGGAATGCAGCACTGAGGACCAGCTCAGGGAAGGTTTCTCTAATGGCGCAGTCCCAACCATCCTTGGGCATACAATTCATTGTAGCCATCATTTCTTTTGCTTTTACCTTTTCTCCTAGGGACAGGTTTCTGCTTGCTTTTTCCTCTTGCCCTTGTTAAGGATCGGAAGTTGTTTCTCAAGTGGTGAGTCTGGGGTATTTTACAGGGAGGGAACTGAACTTTTAAGAATTATAATGATTTTTATAATTAATTTTTGTCTATTTTGTAGGTGGCACAGAACCAAGATACTAATGTTGTTTTATTGTTTTTGGCAAATGCGGGGCTGAAAGGCAAGGTCTTATTGGTTTTTAGCTTATGGGAGAATTGGGATTATTAAGACCTTATTAAACAGCAGAAGAAAAGCATATGGTAAAAGCACATTTGGTTGTTTGTTATATAGAAGTGACCTGTGTTAATTTGCCCTGAGAGGGCTGTTTGTGGTTGTAGGTTTTATAAGAAATGATATCTGTAAACCTGTCTCAGAGTGACCATTCATTAGGCTGCTTGTTTTTATTTTGTCGTTATGAAATGTATTACAGTAATCTTTACGGTGTATTAGTCATATATGCAGCCTCCTATTTCTTGAATATTGCACATCCCAACTTGGTTGTGCCTTAGGTTGCAGTTTTGTGTCGGGTTTGATTTCCTTTTGTTTCTCATTCAAGCTCTAGAATATTCCCACATGGCTTGAGAGTGATATTCCTGGAGTTAAGGCAGCAGCAGGCAGTGGTGGCTGGTCCAATGCAACCAATGGGCAACTGCCCCAGCAAGCTCAGTCTGCCTTCAGCCAAGCTCCACCTGCCTGCCGTCATACTTACAACCTGTCCATGGGGTGGCGTTGTCAGCTTCCTCCTTAGTCTCAGGGCTCGTCTACACTTCCTCTTGTTCCATACCTAGAAAGCATGGGTCTGTGTGTTTTTCCCCTTGCCCCACTCTTTTCCCAGGGAAAACCTGCTCTTTAGCTCTAAACCAGAACAGATGACAATTCACGGAAAGCCTGAATTGCCCTTTGCGCCAACTGAGTGCTAAAGAGTGGTTTTCTCCAAGGGATAAGCCCTCAGTGTTGTAGCCCTTGTGGGAGGAGGATTGGGAAAATACTATAACTAGTTGACTTTGCCCATCATTGCCTCTGGCTCCACCTACTGTTGACCTCCAGCCTACAGCCTGAAATAGCATTGGTCTGTGGGAAATTAAAATAGCTGCCCCCAATGGGACACTGCTGCCATCAGAAAAACCCACAGCCTTGGATAGGGGCCAGTGGCAGTGGGCTGTGCCAGGGTGCTGGGGCACTTGCGGCAGCCAAAGGATGCCAGGTGATGTCATTAATGCCCTAATGAGATGTGGCATTAAAACATTTCATCTTCCTTACCACATTGAAAAAAACTATAAATGCAGTCTGATGAAGCTGTTATTTTGCACAGAGAAACAGAGATGGGGGTTTGCCTAACCCTTTCTAGTCCTGCCTTTTTCTGCTGGAAATTACTCACTCTGCTACTTTTCTACCTGTGGGGTGGTAGAACTTATCCATATTTTTCTCTGCAGGAAAAATACCACCTGAGAGGGGTGGTGGTGATTGTGAGCTAAAAAGATCATAGGCCCTTGCTGCTGACCCTTCAAACTTCCCCTTCCCACAGATTTGCAGTCCTTACAGGCTGCTTTGGTGTTGCTTTTGATGATGATGATGTTAAAGGGAAATGACACTGGGGGAAATCTACAGGTGACTGATCTTATATAAATCTGGTAATCTCCAGGTTGGATTACTTCAATGCACTCTGTGTAGGGCTGCCCTTGAAGTCGGCCCAGAAGCTGCAGCTAGTGCAAAATGCAGTGGCTCAACTGCTTAGGGGACCAAGTATCACCACCATATTATGCCACTGCTGAAAAAATTGCACTGGCTGCCAATTAGCCACCAAGCTTCTGAAGTTTACTATACAGCGGAAAGGAGCAGCCAAGCATACTAGGACTCAATTTCTCGACTTTAAGAAAGCCGACTTCATAAAGCTTAGGGAAGTGCTGGGTGAGACCCCATGGACAGTAATACTAAAAGGAAAGGGAGTTCAAGATGGCTGGGAGTTTGTTAAGAGGGAGATAGTAAAAGCACAACTTCAGGCAATACCAATGAGACGGAAACATGGAAGGTGCCTAAAGAAGCCAGGGTGGCTATCTAAAGAACTTTTAACTGAGTTAAGATTAAAAAAGGATGTGTACAAAAAATGGAAAAGGGGGGAAACCACCAAAGAGGAATTCAAAGAAATAGCCAGCACGTGTAGACACAAAGTCAGAAAAGCTAAAGCACAAAATGAACTCAGGCTTGCTAGAGAGGTTAAAAGCAACAAAAAAGGCTTTTATGGGTATGTTCGTAGCAAAAGGAAGAACAAAGAAACCGTGGGGTCACTCAGAGGAGAAGATGGTGAAATACAAACAGGGGACACAGAAAGGGCTGAACTCCTCAATGCCTTCTTTGCCTCAGTCTTCTCCGATAAAGAAAACAATGCCCGACCTGAAGAATTTGGAGCAAATGATTCAGCAGAGGAAACACAGCCCAGAATAACTAAGGAGATAGTACAAGAATACTTGGCTAGTCTAGATGTATTCAAGTCTCCAGGGCCAGATGAACTGCATCCAAGAGTATTAAAAGAACTGGCAGATGTGATTTCAGAACCACTGGCAGTCATCTTTGAGAATTCCTGGAGAACAGGCGAAGTCCCGGCAGACTGGAGGAGGGCAAATGTTGTCCCTATTTTCAAAAAGGGGAAAAGAGAGGACCCAAATAATTACCGCCCAGTCAGTCTGACATCAATACCAGGGAAGATTCTGGAGCAGATCATTAAGCAAACAGTCTGTGAGCACCTAGAAAGGAATGCTGTGATCACCAATAGTCAGCATGGATTTCTGAAAAATAAGTCATGTCAGACTAACCTGATCTCGTTTTTTGACAGAATTACAAGCCTGGTAGATGAAGGGAACGCAGTGGATGTAGTCTACCTTGATTTCAGCAAGGCATTTGACAAGGTGCCCCATGATATTCTTGTAAAGAAGCTGGTAAAATGCGGTCTTGACTATGCTACCACTCAGTGGATTTGTAACTGGCTGACTGACCGAACCCAAAGGGTGCTCATCAATGGTTCCTCTTCATCCTGGAGAAGAGTGACTAGTGGGGTGCCACAGGGTTCTGTCTTGGGCCCAGTCTTATTCAACATCTTTATCAACGACTTGGATGATGGACTCAAGGGCATCCTGATCAAATTTGCAGATGACACCAAACTGGGAGGGGTGGCTAACACCCCAGAGGACAGGATCACACTTCAAAACGACCTTGACAGATTAGAGAACTGGGCCAAAACAAACAAGATGAATTTTAACAGGGAGAAATGTAAAGTATTGCACTTGGGCAAAAAAAATGAGAGGCACAAATACAAGATGGGTGACACCTGGCTTGAGAGCAGTACATGTGAAAAGGATCTAGGAGTCTTGGTTGACCACAAACTTGACATGAGCCAACAGTGTGACGCGGCAGCTAAAAAAGCCAATGCAATTCTGGGCCTCATCAATAGGAGTATAGCATCTAGATCAAGGGAAGTAATAGTGCCACTGTATTCTGCTCTGGTCAGACCTCACCTGGAGTACTGTGTCCAGTTCTGGGCACCACAGTTCAAGAAGGACACTGACAAACTGGAACGTGTCCAGAGGAGGGCAACCAAAATGGTCAAAGGCCTGGAAATGATGCCTTATGAGGAACGGCTAAGGGAGCTGGGCATGTTTAGCCTGGAGAAGAGGAGGTTAAGGGGTGATATGATAGCCATGTTCAAATATATAAAAGGATGTCACATAGAGGAGGGAGAAAGGCTGTTTTCTGCTGCTCCAGAGAAGCGGACACGGAGCAATGGATCCAAACTACAAGAAAGAAGATTCCACCTAAACATTAGGAAGAACTTCCTGACAGTAAGAGCTGTTCAACAGTGGAATTTGCTGCCAAGGAGTGTGGTGGAGTCTCCTTCTTTGGAGGTCTTTAAGCAGAGGCTTGACAACCATATGTCAGGAGTGCTCTGATGGTGTTTCCTGCTTGGCAGGGGGTTGGACTCGATGGCCCTTGTGGTCTCTTCCAACTCTATGATTCTATGATTCTATGATTCTAAGCTAAGATCAAGGCGTTGGTTGTGGTGTACAAAACCATAATCAGCTTGGAACCAGAATACTTAAAAGATAATCTGACCCTTTATATACCCAATGAATGCATTCCAGAAAAAGGTATCTGCAGGCATCTTTCAGATACCATCTTATAAAGAGATCTGTTTCATTTGATGTAGGAATTGGGTCTTTTGTAAGGTGACAGTTCCCTTACACTTCAGATGGTGTGTGTGTGTGTGTGTGTGTGTGTGTGTGTGTGTGTGTGTATCTATTGTCTTTTCGGCACCTATGGAATACCTTCATCAACAAGCCTTTTAAATGGAGATCTTTATTCCACTCTTTATCTGCATTAGATGTAAAATTAGTTACGTACGAAATTGTTTTTAGCTGTTTTTACAGACTGAATTGTTACTACTGTTTTTCATATAGAATAGTAATTGTTTCTCTTGTTGATGTTTTTATTGCAAAATGGCTTTGAGATATGTCATGGAAAACAATTCCATCAACTGGATCATAAAATTATTATTTTTTAAAGTTACATGCTTTCCCCCTGCACACCTGTGCTGTGTTTCCCATAGCCATATCTTCCATTCTACTGGCATTCATGCAGTCACCTTAAAATGCACCCACAATCTTTCTCTCCCCCCACATGCGTGTACTTGCATGTATATTTATATGCATGGACACAGGGACGCACTGGCCATTGGGTGACAGTTCAGGCCATAGAGAGCAGCACCAGATTTTGATTTGTTGGCTGTCAGTCAATGATTTGAATGTCATGGGCATTAGGACTGGGAGATCAGGGAGAGCTGTGGCTGTCACAGAGCAGCTGTTGACACTCATCTGATGAAGCTGTTAATTTAACTGGAGTTTACTGAATGGCAATTAGGCGGGGCCTCATTACCAGCAACGAGTAGAGCAAAGGCACATTATAAGAACCCAGGGAAGGAGAAGGCAGAACATCAGGGAAATGGTGCCAAAGTGTCATTTAGGATCTGGAGTTATGCATCTGAGCGCCCTCTGATAGGCTGCCCTTCCAAATGCTCACAGCTGGAGTTAGGCATCGCAGGCTGACAGGCCTGCAGGTCTGGAGATGAGAGACTAAAGGAGGGCTCTCAGCGGAGGGTGAAAGGAGGGGGGTGAGAGTCTGCTTAAAAGTAGCAGTAAACAGCAGTGTGTGGAAGCAAACACCACATTCCCCGAAAGGAGAAGGGGCATTTCCTCTCCATCACATCCAGTCTGTATGTAGATGGTCCTAGGCTTGGGGACATATTTCAGCCATACAGAAATCTAAGGGTGCATCAGGGCAAGATTAAAGGGCATGGGATCCCTATATTGTGGGGCTGAAAATATTTTCCATGCACTTACCCCTGTGTTCACATTCACATATGACGGCTGTATAAAGGTATACACCCCTCCCTACCTCATATCCCGGACACCCCCTTTATCCTGTCCCATCACTCAAATGTTCCCTAAATGAGAACGACCCAGCAAGCAAAGGTCTGCATGTTGGTACATGACAGAAGAAGTGTACCATTTTGGCCACTGCAGGGCTCACTTACCTTGCTGAAACAAACTAGCCAGCATGCTCTGAGGTTTATTGGAGTTTATTTGTTTGCAGATGTCAAGGCACAATTTTATAAATTGCTATCAACATAGGTCGATGCAAAAACAACATATAAGAGCACACCAGAATTTTAAAAGAGAATCCACTTTTGCAAACTGTTTCCCAGGTTTTGTGGCTTCACAAGCTAAAACAAATTTCATGTATTTGCTAATTAGCAAATATTTGGAGGCTGAGAAATAACAGTAGTCCTTTCCAAAAAATGACACCAACAGATCATTTCAACTTGACACAGAGCCTTCAGTTACACTCAGTGGTGGGACCATATGTTGGGTGGTGGCTGTTGCCCTGCTTGATGGCTTCCATGAGTTATCTGGCCAGCCACTGTTAGAAACTGTATGTTGGAACTAGATGAACGGTCAATCTGAACTAGGAGGGCTCTTGACAGTGGCAAGAACTGTACTTGAAAGAGGCCACAGCTTCTCTCTGGCTCCACTTCTGGCAGCTGCTATCACAGCATAGATTTGGTGTGCATGGCTCTGTCCTTTTTTCGGCAGAAAGTGTGGGATTAATTAACTGATTCTCTACCCCTTTCCACCACACCATTCTGTTGTGAAAGGCACATAAACTGGGAGCAGCTAAGAGCAGACGTTAAAATTTCAGAGGAATACAATAGCTGAGGATACTTCTCTCCACTAACTGAGAAAAAGCAAATGAGGAACATTTGCTTCCCATGAAGCTCTCATCGGAAGGCACCTGGTAAAATTAACATACTAACAAGTTTTGAAATGAACAAACATTTCTTTGCACAGTCCAGCATTGTTCTCTGGAGCTCACTTCCATAGGATGACGTGATGGCCAGCTGTATAACTGGGTTAAGTAAAAGACCAGACAGATTTATGAAGGCGGGAATATCAGTGGCTGTTAATGAAGCCGCAGTTCAACACACTTCTCCATACTTGTCCCGCTACCTCCAGCCTAATGCTACAATCCTATGCAGACTTACTTATGAGTAAGAAAGGGGGAGCAATGCAATTCAGTTCATATTTAAATGCAAATCCCACTTTCAGGAACAATTTGTGAACCAAGACACTGCCATTCATTGAAATTCACACTCCTCCGAATTTTGCAGTGTGGCTCTCCAGCTAAGCAATGTGTGCAAAAACACATACAATTTGTAAAAACAAGACACAAAAATAAATTAAGTTACAGAAAATTCATTTGCAAACAAGAATAGGCAGAATGGCATACAAAAACATGTTTATTAAGGAGAAATTCACAATAAAATGCTGGTGAAATATATATATATATATATATATATATGGGAATGATGTGGAAATTTGAAGAACTGGCCTTAAGGTTGGAAAAATTAGAAAATGAGAGAAACATTATTATTATTATTATTATTATTATTATTATTATTATTATTTACGCACCCTTCACCTGAAGGTCTCCGGGAGCGTTAAAACAATTTAAAATACAACACTAAAAACGCTTTTATAAACATACCATTACCAAAAAATGCAATCACAAAAAGCAGGGGGAGTTCTGAAAACATACATCTCAGGTGTCAAAGGGTACAGAGAAGTATCTTCTTGGCAGACTCTCAGCAATAAGGGTTACTATGGGGCTCACTTACCAATTAACATGCTTAGGATCAGAATACATACTTGTCAGTAGTATACTTTTTCTTACTGAGGACTTTATATATATGTGTGTGTATATATATATATATATATATATATATATATGTGTGTGTGTGTGTGTGTGTGTGTGTGTGTATGTATATATATATCATGAGCTCTTTGGCTCAGAGATGTTTAATAGTGACTTACACAGCTGTGAGAATGGCATTGTATTTTGGTACAGGGGCCTGCATTATATTTTTTCCAAATATTTAACTAACATCTTAGGTCAGATGCAACTATGTTTTACTCAAAGTGGAACCACCGAAATAAATAAATAAACCTATCTCAACCATGTTGAATACCACCCCAAATATTCCAGTAGGAAGAAGAGAGGAATTAAGTTCAGCTTTGTTTTCTAATGCAAGCTTACCTGATTTGCATTTCTTCAATCAATATACAAACCAAAATTCAGTGATCCTTCAAAATTCACACTTCTCCAAAGTTTGCAAAGACTTCTCCAGTTGACAAATGTGTACAAAAAGTATATATTGGGGAAATGCATATATTTTTTAATAATAGTGAAAACAATATACAATGTACTAATACATTGTATTAGAGAAATTTTCATGCATGTGTATAACAGGCAGAATTGCATACAAGACTATGCATATTAGGGGAAATGCACACTAAAAAAGAAGAATTTATGAGGATTTTTCAAACAAAGAATCACAAACTGATACGAAAGTGTGGCAAACTTGACTTAAGACTAGAAAATTGAAAAACAACAACCTGAGAGAAACAGAAATTGACAATTTCATCTTCTGACCAACCATATTTTTTTACCTCTCACCATTGTATCTAATCACCAACATTCTTCTAGCATCTGAAAGGGTATCTCTGAAATGGTGAACAAATCCTATGAGTTCCAGTCCAGAAATCTGTGGTCTAGAGTTACCCTGTTTCTAGACAAAGCCTGCATTGTTAACAGCTCCAGGCCTAGACTCAGGTCTAGTGAGGGTGTTGTCCCTGTCACCACTGCTACAGAGGGGAGATGATGGGTGGGTGCCTGACCTAGGTACTATCATGTGAAGGAGGCGAATGCAGGTCAAAAGGCAAGGCCGTGTGCGCGCGCTGAAACAAAGGGAAAGCGGCAATGATGTGCTGGCCCTTGCTAGGCTTAGATCCAGATCTGGCAAAGCACTGGTTCACATTGGCACACACAGCAGTAAGCTTTACCCAGGTGATCCCTTGAGCTCTGACTGTTGTCAAGAAGAAGGAGAGGGCAATTATGACAATGACTTTGTCTTGTGAGGAGTGGGTTCATGAGGCTATCAGCACATCCTTTAACCTGGGTGTGTGCATAGTTAAGTTTTCTTCAGGGGGCCTTGGTTCTCTCCCCCCCCCCCAATCCCTGGCCCCAAACCCATAACAACCTTTCAAGGTTCCCCACAAGGGATGGCCTCCAGAATGTGCTTCTGAATTATGGCAATTTCACATTTCAGTAGCAACCCCAGATACGATTAGCAAGTGGGTGTTGGGAATCCTTTGGCTCAATGGTCAAGGTGCCAGCAGTATTTTTATCTTGGCAGATTTAGACCTGGGCATGCCAGGTAGCATTTTCTGGCATCTGATTTGACTTGAGCATATTGGTAACTAGATTAATTCTTGGTATTTACATACCACTGTAATGGGTCTCCACATCCTTTCCATCATCAAAGTGCTCGAAAACCACTCAGCTCTATACAATGTTCACTATGCAAAGTTCAGCAGAACTGGTGAATCTCAGCTTAAATTCCATCAATTTATTTATACTTCCTGCTGCAATACTGAGTGAGCCAGCAACACAAGGAATTAGGGGTAGGGAGGCAATGGGGGTCCAGTTCAGAAAATTCATACGATGACCAAATGCTTCTGGTAATTGAGCAAGACACACACAAACAAACACAGAGAGAGAGAGAGAGCCAGACAGTGGTCTCACACAATTCCACTGCCTTTTAATGGTGCTTGTGCTAGAGCACTTCCCAATTGTTACCCTTTATCCCTTAGATCCAGAAGGCAATTCAAAGAATCAGTCAAGGAAAGGGAAGCGAGACTGAAATCCTGTGTGTGTCTGAATCGATGCAGCCCCTGAAAGCCAAAGAATCCCCAGTAGGACTCGGCCGGCTATTGTCCCAGCTCCCCCTCGCACCAATTAGCTTAATTCATTTTTCCTCTTGCCTGTTCTGAGCTGGAGAAGGGGGAGGGAGGGTTTAAATAAAAGGATGAGAATAGTCCCTACTTGACCTCTCTTCTCCCCTAGGAGTTGGCAGGGGAGAGAAGAGGAAGCCGTGAATAAAAAGGAACTCGTGTTTACAGGAGTGATTCTCCCATTAATGGCAGCATATGTTTGCATTTATTTAAACCTGCGGGGGAAGTGTGTGCGCCTGTGTGTATGTGTGTGCGTGTGCTGGGTGAGGGGGTCGGTGGGGGGAGAATAGCAGCCGCAGCAGCAATATTGCACACAGCATGCCAGGTGCTTGCTGTCAGCCTAAACAAAAAGGGGATGTCAGCATTCTGTGTGCTGGGAGGCAGGGGAAGGGGAGCTGGCAGATTCCTGTCATCGTTGCCTTCTGCCTTAATGCTCAAAATCCTGTCTTCCTACACAGAGACCAGATCAGACCAGACCGGCCTGGGGGCCAGCAAGCCCACTGCCCTGGCTCCCAGAGAAGCTGCACCACCTGCTCTTTCAGAAGGAGCAACGCTACCAGGATCCATCCAGCAGAAAAGCACCCATCCTTGCCCCGGCAGCTGGGGCCGCCATAAACATGCCGTGCCATTTTAGCCACTGCAAACACACCTTTGGCCACTGTGGACACAGCCAAACACTCATTCCCCATATCTGCCTTTAAGCAATGTACTATACTGGGGATGGAATAAATGAGTAAGGAAACCCTCAAATCCCAGGTTGGGTGCAGGTTCCTTGTTCTTTTTGCACCCATTCAGGTGAGAGGGCAAATGTACAATTGAAAGAACTTTCTCACCTTGATCCCTATGTAGATAAAGAAAGGAAACACGAGGACACAACTTTATCCTTAGTGGGGCCATTTTGCCTCATGGGAAGACAAAAAACAAACCTGTGCAATTTTCAAATGTACATTCATGTGATAATGCAGATACAAAGCGGCTCAGCACTAGACTGGCCTGGTTAAAAAAGAGAACAGGGCTCTTGAACCGTTACATTAGGAGTAGCCAACGCAGTGCCCTGGAGATTCTGTTGGACTTAAAATTCCAATAACCACCTACCCATTGGTGGTGATGGGGGAGTCAGGGTCCAAAGGTCTCTGGAGGACCCCACATTGACTATCTCTGCTTGACGTAATTGCTAGGCAAGTTACACCTGCTGGAATGCCCTCCCCACTATGCAACAATTAAAAGTGCAAGGGTTTTGACTTCTTTTGCATTTGACCAGGCTAGTCATGATCTAGAAGAGTATCTTGTGACTTGTGAGGTGATCAGCTGAACTGCAGGAAATTCACATGACTCAGTCAGTTGAACCACAGAAGGGTAATATGCATAGCTTTGCAATGGGGACATAAAATGGGGGAAAATCATGTCTGTAACCTGCCTATGGCTGGGAGTTTAAACTGTAGTTACTGACTTGACTTATGCAATTATGTATTCCTGTTCTGAGGTTGTTATATAACTGCCTAGGAAGAAAGGTAGGCCTGTAAATTTGTTTTCTGAGGCAACTTACACACACACACACACACACACACACACACACACACACACGTTGGAAGAACTGTTTAATCATGGAACTGAGATCCTCATATCTTGATGCTTGTTGGTGGAAAAAATATATTTCTATACTGCTTTATATTTTTAATAAAAATCTCAAAGTGGTGTACAGCATATTAAAACAAATAAACAATAGCCGGGCGATGTTCTTCTGGCTTCATGAGGAGCCTCTTTTGTAGAGCTGGTGAGTGTGGGCCCTGCCCCCTAGGGCAGGTGGAAAGAGCCTTGCAGGGAGCAGCCTTGACGCCTCACAGCCGGGCAATGTTCCTCCGGCCTCATGAGGATACTCTTTTGTAGGGCTGGTGAGTTTAGTTAATTCCATACAGTGCAAACCATGGAGAAAGTAAACTGTGATCCATGTGGATTGTTGTGGGGCAGTAAAAGAGAGCAGGGGAGACCGAGATCTGTAGCCACAAGATGCTGCAAATAATCAAAACATGCCACATGTAGCTAAGCGTGCTATATTTCACAGGGGAGTTTGAAGAATCTCAGCCTGGTGTGCTAGAAAATTGTTTCTTGATCCCAAATGCTATCAGAATAACCCAGATCATTTAGAACAAGACTCAGGTGACCACCTGAGTGATCTCTGTAGATCAAAATCTCAAAATCTTTAGCAGACTGAAATGGAGGACCATTCATGACATCTCTGAAGCGATCAGATGTTTTCCCCACAGGTAGAAAACTGTCATAGGTGAAACAACCGTTGGAAAGAAGAAAGGCTATGGTACATCCTTAGGTACCTGTGATTCTGCCCTGCAGAGGCCAATGGTGGATCTTCACACTTGCTTCCTTATTGTGGTGCACATAATCTGGAAGTTGATGGAAACCGTAGCCCTGGATGGCTCCAAAAAGCTGATCTGTGTAGGCTTCTTCCTACACTGCAGTTTCCCTCCAAAAAGCTGATCAGCACCAGCTGTCCGGTCCATATTGTGACAGTGAAGCAAATACTCCCACCCCAATTCACACTTGATGAAGCGCATGACTTCTCCTACACAAAGATTATCTCTATATACGGTGAAAATAGAAAGCAAAGAATGAAGCGGCCTTGAGGTTCCATGTCGGGAACTGATACCCTTTGAAAAATTGGACGAATGCCTTCACCACCACCAACTTACTAGCCTACTCTATGGTGCCAACGGCAGCTAATAGATGTTTCTGAAAGCAAGAAAACATCTCTTATTTCACAACTGCTCGTTCGCCACATGTTCTCTCATTGCATTGTGCCGGTTGCTCCCACGTCAAGAGAAATCCGATTTATGTAATGGCAGCTTGTCAGCACTTGGCTAAAACAGTGCTTGCTCTCCGCTAGCATAGCAGAACAAACATAAACACAGAATTACTAGGCAGCCAAGCTTTGCTAATATTTATCTATGATTAGGGAGATCAATCACTGTTAATTGATAGCTTATTGCTTTCACATGCCACTTTGTATGCATTTATCCTTTTATCTTTGCCACAAGCCTTTTAGGCTCATTTTTTTTGTGCATGACAAGGTACTGCAGAGCAGGAGGCAAAAGTTGGCCATCTTTGACCTGGACATTATTGGTGGGGAGGTCAATTGCTTCTTCCTTTCTGTAATCACAACAGTATTCAATGCAGGTCATTGAAATGCACGTGTGGAAGACAAGGCCCCCCAAAAAATTCAATGAAGAAATATTCTAAAAGCAGGTACTCTCCTTGCTTTCTCTGGTTTTACTTTCCTTTTCTTTAAAAAGCTGCATCTGGAAAATCTTTTTTAATTTTATAAAAATACAAAATTATTTTTAAAAATGGAGATATGAAAACACCCATGACAACAGCTGTTTGCTGGTTACACATGATCCATCTTAGTATTTTTCCACCATCAGGTTTGTTTGTGAGCAGACCTATGAGTTAGATGCAGAGCAGAGGCTTAGAATACAGCTGCATGCTTGCAAGCCACGACTGCACATGCATACCATATCAACATGCCCCACTGACCAGCTCTTTTGTCATCCCTTACTGGGGTGTCACTTGGCTAGAAACTCCACCAGCCTCATTAGAATGCATTCATCCTGCAGGCTGAGCCCCAGTGATGACATTAAAGGATTATACCCCTCTAGTTCGTGCACTTCTGTCTTGATTGCCCATGTGGCCTGTACCTGCTCATTTCAAAGATATAGCTCACAACTTTATCAGCACATATCTTAACAACATTTATCCTGTCTTGCTGACATCCTTGAAAAAAGACCACCCCCAAGTTGACCGTCTAGTCTTGGCCACAGACTAACAAATGCTGATAAGATGGTATCAAGGAGGTGCGCAGTGGAACGGCTATAACCTATGGGACAGCACAACTTTACACGCCAAAGATCCCAGGCATCAATTGCTGGCATCTTCACTTAAAACAGGTATGAGGAACCTTTGGCTCTTCCATTCTTGCTGAACTACAACTCCCATCAGCCCCAGCGAGCAAACCCTCCACAAGGGAAAGCTGCACTGTTCAATTTGGAACTAGTTGAACTCCAGGATCCAATTGCCTGGTGCTGTATAAAAAACGTACATTTAAAACACATGGCTTCCCTCAAAGAACTCTGGGAACTTTAGTTTGTTAAGGGTGCTGGGAATTGCAGCTCTGTGAGGGGTAAATTGCAGTTTCCCAGCTCTTTAAGGGAAGTTACGTGTTTCAGTTGTACAGTGTGTTACAGTTAACCAGCTACAAGGCAAATCCAGTTTGGCACAACTTGCTTAGAAGCTTCTTCCAGTAAGAACAGGAAGATTCCTGAATGTACAAGCCAGATGAAAAGTTAGGGTCAGTGGATGCATCCGTGTGAAGGCCTCTCTAAGTTGTTCCACACTGCTGCTGTGATAAACCTCCCTGTGTCACCAGTCACCACCCAGTCAGAAGGGCAATTTTCTCCACAAGCAAACCTTTAGAAACTGAAATTTTGGCGCTTGCATAGAGAAAAATCTCTCCAACTGTCCTGGCATTCAAACTGCACACAAACCACCACTTTACACACACACACACACACACACACACACGATAACAGATGCCACATGGGGTGATTTAAAGCTATCTTCACATTGCAGCTTTAAACTAGATTATCTCTGACCTCATCCAGCTATAAAAACCTGTGAATGTATCAAGCCCTTGTCAAGGCTATAATCCATAACTTGCATTGGGTTTGCTACTAGCTTTTGTTTCATCCCAAGGCACACACTCCCCTCTCCACCCTATGTTTTTGCAAACATCTGTTTTTCAAAAATAACACAACACACACACACACACACACACACACACATTCTTTCACCTCCCTACCGTGTTCCCTGCCCACCCTCCTTGGCTGCCCTCTGTCCGATACATTCCTGGCTCTCTCCTTCCCACCCACCTTTCTTGCAACGCTCAGATAAAAGCGTTTGGGTAGCGTCGCCCTTGTCATATAAATCCCACCATAATTCTCTCTTTCCTGTTAAGCGAAAGAAAATAAACGTGTACGGCTGTTACTGGAAGCCAAGCTGTGGGACTGCTTTAAATTCTCTTCTTATTGAGTCTGGGCTGAAAATCATTCAATTCTGCCGAGGACACAGATATGCGTTTGCACACACACACACACACACACACACACGGAGGTGTGTGTGGTGGGGGAGAAAAAGAGAGAGACAGGGAGCAAGAGGCAGGCGTGTATAAATATCTCCAGCTCTCCAGATATCCGTCAGATTTATTCCTCTGCCAAGCCTGCAGAAAATTGACTTGTTTCATGGAGGCAGGCTATTGACACATTACCGCGAGGAGGGTTAGGAGAGAAAGCAGTGAGACTGGCGCCCCCTCTATTAGACGATAATGTAATCAGCAGTGTGGGAAATGAGTGTGGGTAAAATGGCATCGCTGACATTTATATTAGAGGATATTGATGGTGGGAGCTGTGACCGCATCTATCCTACCTCCCGTTTGCTGGGATTGACACAGACGGCTCTTGTTTGGCTGGATTCGCTCTCTCTCCCTTTCTTCTTAGCTGGGTGGCTGGCTGCTGTCACAGCAGATAGATAATTGAAAAATGGATCTCACCTTTCCAGCAAACAGGAGTGGTTCAGGCAATTACTGTAGAGGTTACCTACTCAGTCTGAAGGCTTCGTCTCCAAGAGAGATTCAGAGGAAATTGGATTTTACATGGATGTTTTATTCTGGCAGCAGTTTTAGTATAAATAAAGGCAAGGAGACAGAGAAGAGGTGTAAGGATGAGTGAGAGCTGCACAAAAGGGACTTGACAGAGAGGCAGCATGCGCGTGTGAGCGCGCCCGGGTGCGCCTGGGTGAGATTAATACACCCGCTGCCAGCCCTCCAGGGGATTTCTGGTTTGTTGTGCATTGTGTGCGCGCACGGCTTTTAAAAAAAGAAACAGAAAGAAAGAAATCGGAGGCTAAAGGAGGTTAACTTCCTCAAGGCCGCACAACTAAGCCTGCCCTTGGAATAAAAAAGAAATGGAAGGGTGGGGGTGGGGGGGGTAGGGATCCCATTCCCAGAGGAAATAACAAAAGGTGGGAGGGGGAGAGAAAATAAAGGAGGAAGCGTAGAGCCCCCATCAAATGGGCTCTGGACATCTTTGTTTTTCTCTGCTGTCCCACCACCCAGAAGATTAGGCCACAGGCCTCCTGTGTTTTAACAGATCTTGCTGGGATAAACCAATGGACCACCTCATCCGCTATTGAACCTCCTATAGGGGGAATATAGATGGAGGAGTGACCGTGATGAAGATGGAAAAGAAGTAAATAACAGACATCACAAACAGAAAGCTTCAACTCTTGACCATTGTTTCCACATAGATGTTCAGGTTTATACTCAGTACAGGACCAATGTCTTGGCCATCTAGCCATTAGCTCTTGACATTCAACTGCCTAATGGCCTCCATATCACCCAGGAGATTTCAGCCGCAGGGATAAGAAAGGAAGAGTCATTCTGTTGTCTGGAGAGTCTGCATTGAGAAGCCGTTTTCAACGGAGGCCAGCAACGGAAATGTGCAGTTGTATTGAGCCAGCACCAGGTGTTGGAATTTTGTGCCCCTAACAATTTTGCGCCCCGGGCAACCGGCCCTGTGCCCCCCCCCACTGCCTCATAAACATACAGGCTTCTATAAGGAGTCTCAGAGTGCACCTGCATGGCTGCAGCTAAGAGTCCTTTTCAAACTTTGCCTCTGTGCATTTGTCAGTTAATATATATATCGGTGTATAGATCGGAGAGACCATGTTGACTATGAGTCCTGGAAGACTCCTGCCTTGCTGCCTTGCTGGCCTTCCCCCCAACCTGGCCTGTGAGGGTGGGGCCCTGACTGACTCCAGCTACAAAAGCTGAGGATGCTGAACAGACTCTTGGATTGGGGTATTGGTTAGGGGTTTTTGTTGTGGGGGGTATACTGCTGTTGTTTATGTGTGTGTGTTTTGTATCTTTATTTTGGATCCTATTATTTATGTGGAAATTGTTCTTTTTGGTTGTGTACTTTTTGACATTTTGTGTATTGTTTATGACTACTTTTGTTACATTTGTAGTTATGTAATTTTTTTATAGGTTGTAAGCCACCTTGAGCATGGTTTTAACTTTGGAAAAGCGGAATACAAATAAAAGGAGTGATTGATTGATATTATGATGTGATCTATATATTTTCCTCTTTTTCAAACAAGTAGCTGGCATTCCATTTTGCCTGC